GCATCGTAGTTCCATATTTGACCTTGTGTGTCAAGTATCGGTTGGCTCGAACTCGAATCACCCACCGATCGGTTCCCCGGGCACATTTTTTCGGTGTGCCTCCTTAACGTAGAATTTCCTTCCGCCGTAAGGAGAGTTTGACACATTTTGCATTGTGCCTTTCGTTTCCCGGTCGTGAGAATCACCAAGTTGTAGTGATTCCAAATCTCGGACTTTCGTCCGTGTTCGGCGAGAACTTGGGCAATTTGTTCGTTTGAGGGTTGTTCACCGGCCATTTTGTAAATCGTAGGTAAAAGAGAGAAATAAACGAGAATTGTGAAGTGGAAACGATAAATTAATACGTAACGAATTCAACAAATGAAGCGAAAAACCGAGAATTGAGAGCGTTTTTTGCGTTTTTGAAGATGAGAAGTGTTGGTAACTAACTAAGGAACTTTCATCTCTATTTATACATGTTTTGGTAGCTAAAAAGATGAAAAAAACGGTCATAACGGTAACTAACGGTAACTAACGGCTAGTTTGACTTTCTAACGGCTAGTTTGACTTTCTAACGGTAACGTTGACTTTTTCGTTGACCAGGCCGGGCCGGGCCGGGCCCATAACCGGTTGCGTAATCGGTTCCGGTCCAAAAAATCACGAATTATACTAACCGGTTCGTAACCGCCGGTCCTTAACCGGTTATGGCCGGTCCCGGTCGGTTACGGTTATGAGTCGGGCTCGGTTCCGGGCCTCCGTCGGTTACGGGCCGGGCCGGTTACAAATGGCCATCTCTACCGGCCATAACCGGTCCCGGTATAACTGGTCCCGGTATAACCAATTTCGGTCAAAAATGATAGGATCGGTCAAGGTACTTCATAAACGGTTATGGGCCGCCGGTCCCAACCGGTCCTTGCATTAAAAAATAAGATTTTTTGTTTTTATTTTTTTAATGATATATATTTTTAATACATTATAAAATTTACAATTTAATCACTCAAAAACACTTTAAAAATACGTTTTAATATAATTAAAATTACGTTTTCTTATAAAAATACATTATAAAATTATTTAAAAATACATTTATTTATAAAATTATTTGAATTTTTGGGCCGTGCTGGGCCGGTCCATAGTCGGTCCCATAACCGGTCCCGGTCCCACGAAACTACCAAAAACCTTTCAGTCCCATAACTGGTCCTTTGTCGGTCCCGGTCCCAGTCATGGTCTTCCGGCGGTCCCAAGCCGGGCCGGGCCGATTTGGCCATCTCTAATGGGAAGGGTGGGAAGGGAGGGAAAGGAGAGGAAAGTAAAAAAAAAATTCACTCGAAACTTTTATAGAGAAAGGAAAAGGCAGAGAAGGAAAATAATGATAAATTTCCTCCCAAATGTGGAAGGAACGTGAAGGAAGGAAAATAAGACCTTTAAAAAGATTATTAAACTTACAGCACTACTCAAACTTTCATTTCAAAAGATATATTTTAAAGGGTATATTTGTGAAAATGACATTTTTCCTTTCCTTTTTCTCTTATTCAAGAACATGAAAAGTATTTTCTTTCTTTTCCTTTCCTTCATTTTCCTTCCACTTCTTTTCTCTTCTTTGATCCCGAAATTCGAGAACACAGCATTAGCCGTGAGGTACAACAATCAAATTAAATCTCAATTTTTTATAATATGCCCGAGCTTTTGTACCTGTCTCTTTTCAACTATGCATGAACGTGTTTATGTTTTCATGTTTGCATTATCTGTAGGTGTGACCATTAGCTGAATTGATAGTCGCATGACAAATGCCTTATTCTGAGGAGTCCATTGCACCTTCTAAATTTAGCAATCTATAATATTATTCTACCTGAATGGAACTGCAATTCCACCCTTTTTTCCTAACCGGGCGCTTGGTTTGACAAATATAGATTTCATGGAAGGATTTGAAATCTTTGGTGTGTTTGGTTTGTAAGATTTGGAAGGGAATAGAATTCCATTCTTTATAGAAAATTTACAAAAATAATTATATTATCTTTTATTGATAGATTATTACAAAATGATAACATATTTTAAAACATTATTACAAACAAATCCTATGTAATCCCGTGAAATACCAACTACCTCCATGGGATTTCTAAATCCAATGTTTGTGGGGTTTCAATTCCAGACATTCTCTTAAACCAAACGTAGGATTGGAATGGAATCCATTTCCAAATCCTGCAAACCAAACGAGCCCTTAGGGGGCATTTGGTTCACATAATATTTTTTGAAGAAATGGAATCTGTCAAATGAATTGGAATCGAATATTTTTAGGTCTAATCAAGTGTTTGGTTAGCAAGAAATGGAATGTAATTGTCAAATGAATTGGAATCTATCAGTTTGGTCGACAAAATATTGCTTAGAAATTGGAATAAAATAATTAAGCCATCTGTAGAAGTACGGTGAACAGTAACACCACTCCCCCTACATCATCGTTCTCCGTTTTTAAGCATCACTGCATCACCA